TCTATCATAATCAACAGTTGATGGAAAGTGGTCTCTCTGGGGACCCTGGGGTGCCTGTACTAAGCCATGTGGCATTGGAAAGAGGACCCGCGTACGTGTGTGTGACGATCCTGCCCCAGCAAATGGGGGTGCACCTTGTACAGGTGTCACCTATGAAACACAAGCTTGTTTCGTTGAGAGTTGCTCAAGTAAGTTGATATCAATACAGTGGTATAGAAAGAAGAAAACTACTAGGCTTGTTAAACCTTATTAAACAATGCTGGACATTGACAGTAATACTTTTTGACAGTTTGGATTTTTAAAAGATGGAAAAAATCACAGCACATCACGCGAAATAAATCGACGGTCAACGGTAAAGTCAAGGAATGGGTGGGTCATGTGGCAAAATTGGCAGAGTTTGCTTTGTCGCAGTCCCAGGCTTGTCACACAGCGTTCACATTTGGATTAAAACACAGCTGGACATACTGTCTGAGCTTCTGCAAAAGTGCCAAACGAGGCTGCAGTATGTCAGATATGTCAGTATGTCAGTATGTCAGTATGTCAAAAATGGAGGCCTTGAATATTCTTAATTTTACTTGCTTACCCGCATACCAGCCGTCTTGCAAGCTGTAGACACATGGTTACTAAACAACAAGTTCCTGTCAATTAAAACGCCCTATAGATTAACTTCATCCATTGGCTGTACTATGAAAGTGTAAATTTGGACATCACGCTGAGAAGAGTCATTCGATAAAATCGTTGCTTGATATTTGCTTGGGTTTCCCTGCAGGAAATTCTCACTGTACCATCTCGACGTTTGTCTTCTATCATTGTTGATCACCATTACCGCCTGATCAGGGTCTTTATGTGCGTAGTAAAATTGATGGTCATCTGCGTATACTGATAAATGAATTTCACGCTGAATATAGAACAGATCATTCCGGTAGATATTCCACAGCATGGGCCCTAAGGACGTCCCTGAGGACGTCCCCTCTTTATTTCCTTCCAACTGCTGGTCGCCGTTCCTACACGTGACCTGTTCTCTCTTCCGTCGAAATAGGATTTCATTAAATTTAAAGCGCTTTCAGAAAAACCATTTGCTTTCAGTTTTGCCAGAAGTAATACCGGGTGCACGGAGTCAAAGGCTTTACTCATGTCAGTTGACAAAACGGTTACAGTCTCCCCCGTATCCCTCTCATATTTCCAGTCCTCAACCAGTCGTATCAAAGTTGTTTCACAACTGTAACTCTTTCGATATGCAGACGTCGAATTTTCAAAGATAGTTTCGAACTTATCCCTCAACTGATAGCACAGCAATTGCTCAAAGATCTTATTCACCGCCGGTAGCAAAGTTACTGCTCTTTAATTGGATAGATTTTGCGGATCCTCTTTCTTGTACACTCGTACCCATTCTCCCCTTTTCCACTCCTTAGGCCATTCTTTCTCCTGAATTGCTTGATTAAATATCACCGTTAGAGGTTCTGCAATCTCATCTGCTACCAGCTTAAGCATTCTAGGGGACAACCTATCAAACATGTGAAGTCGCGAATGGAGCTCAATAAACTATTACATTATACGCTCTTAGTTCCGTTAATAGTCCTCCTACTAGTCCGCTGACCACTGTCCTGTATGCCAATCAAGTCCCTCTTTTCTTAGAGTGTTAACACTCATTTCGCATCTCATTATCGTACATTGAGTCCCTTGAGACCCGTCACTACAAAACCCTGTTGCTTTATGAGGGTTAAAACCCCGAAGGGCGTCCAAAACTTCCTCTCTACTAATGCTCCTGAAGTTAAACGTACTTGGCATTTGTCTGTGTCTGATCGCACTCACCCCAGGGTGTCTGTAACATTTTTTCTGCAGTGAAAATTATTTGTCTTTGTTGGAATTTTAGAAAAGGGGGATAGCGATGCGTTGAAAAGAAACCATTATAGTTCTGCAATATCTCAGTTAACATTTCTCATATCGAACGCCTATACATCGCCATTCACAATAAACTGATCCATGTTCAAGATTTTAAGACTAACTTACCAAGAAAAATTGATGAAAATTACTCGTTCTTGGCATTCAGACTGGTGATAAATTAGCCAAACCATCGTTCTTTGTTGTTTACTGTCGGCTTTTCTGTCACTGTCGCAATTTGGCCGAGGGAGGTTGTTCCTTGTCGCGATTTCATTTTATGCTCTGTCGCTACTTTTTGGGCCATGTCGCTTGTCGGAATTTACCCTGGTGGGGCCTCCATAATGGACTGAGAGATCTGGAGGCGGAACTGCTTAGCATGGTGTGTAAAGTCGTTGAAGTCGAACCAGTGTTGCAAGGCATCACAGGAGAAGAGTTCAACAGGGGAGCCAACACCGCCCCGGACGCGAGGGAGAGGCAAGAGGACAGCTTTCTTTGATGTGAGGATTTGCCACTACTACTACTACTACTGCTACTGCTACTGCTACTGCTACTGCTACTGCTACTGCTACTGCTACTGCTACTGCTACTGCTACTGCTACTGCTACTGCTACTGCTACTGCTACTGCTACTGCTACTGCTACTGCTACTGCTACTGCTACTGCTACTGCTACTACTACTACTACTACCACTAATAATAATAATAATGTGTTTGTTTTTAATTCATTAGCTACCAAAACACCTCCAGGAGCAAATTCATCTCCAAGGACGACGTTAAAACTAGCAACAACAACACACCCGGCGACCTCACCAGTCACAGGTAGTATAAGTTCATTGGAAACTTCTTGGCCTCAAAACTTAATATATACAGCCGAAAAAAGTTTATGGTCGAGTTATCGAGAATTCCCTGAATTCGCCGAAGAATGGTCGAGTTATCGAGAATTTGCTGTACCAGTCTGGCAGAACATCCCTGCTTATCTGTCCGAAGCCATAGAGCGATCGAGTGCAAAAAAGGGCGCTTAACATAATCTACCCCGAGGCAGAGTCATATGCTCATGCCTTACAGTTAGGTAAACTAGATAGGTTAGATGACAGAAGAGTACTCTTGTGCTACAAATATATGGCGAAAATGAAGTCCCCCAGCCATCCTCTGCACCACCTACTTCCCAGCCCACTTCTGGACGCGCCTAACTACACCTTAAGGCAGAAAACACAAAAGTATGATCTTTTCCGGAACATGCGCGCAGGTCTGTAGGACAAAGAGAGTGGAGGACATCTTTACATTTAAATTTTTTAAGTGATTCAATTGTTATTTTCATTGTTATAACTGTAAATTACTATACTCTAGATAATAGTTGCCTTATGATTGCAAAATGTACTCGATAATTCAGTTCTTTTTACCGCAAGAGAGTTTTAATAAACTATTCTTATAATTCGAAGCAAACAACCGGAAATAAGAATTAAAATAAGCAAATGGATTGGGAGGGAATGTGCAATTAAGTAACAAAGCTTGATTATATGTACAGGTTGCGCGTGAACACTGAATTTGAACTGGTAGTGACAAAAAAGTAAAACAAAGAATTGGCCGCGGGGGTTGAAATAATTTTAATGTCTCGGACTTCACTGCTCGATTTTTTTTCCCGACTTGTCACAGGTTTATAACATGGTTCGAGTTATTGAGGTTAAGATTATATAGAAATTATCTGAAGAGAAACAAAAATGACTTCGCTCAGGTACCACGATGACTACGTGTTGCGTGGTCAACGCGAAAATTTAACATACGCTCATCTCATTGGCTAAATCCGAATACCGCTCACGCGTAATCAGGGGACTAACTGAGGGTAGGAAGATCCATGCTTTTTCATGAAATATTCAGCACCTCTTTTCCCTGAGTCTATGTTCGCGTTGACCAAAAAAAACAGATCGCAATACCAATAACGAGGGAAAGAGATAAGAGACTGAGTGACCTGGCCTTAAGGATTTGGCGCTTTCATGGTAAATCGGTGCGCGGTTCTTTGATGCGGGATAATTTTTTAATAACAGCATTAACTCAATAATAAATAGTCATTTATTGAATTAATATAGCGCCTTTTAACATTAAAATGATCAAAAGCGCTTTACATGAATTTAAAAATAATTATATATCAAAATATAATAGTTATAATGAATTATAAGAAATACCTATAAAACCTAATACTAAAAATACACAATTGACCACCCCCAAGAAAAATTATTCGTTGTAAGCTTAATTTAAAAGACGCTTAAAAGATGTGTCTCAAGTTTTTTCTTAAAAATGTTGAGTGATGTTACTTCCCGAATATTTGCTGTAAGGCTGTTCCACAGTGTGGGGCAGCAGCATAAAATGAACGAGCTCCTAAATAAATGTAGATAGCATACGCCCCTCTGGACGGTCCAAAAATAATGAAGAATTCGATTTAAGGGAATAAACAGAACACGACTTAATAGACACTAAGTTACTAATATAGCTAGGTGACATATTATAAATGACAATGTCACTTAAATGTAACAATTAAAATTTTAAAATAGATGCGGTAAAACACAGGTAGCCAGTGAAGGTTATATAAAGCTGGTGAGATATGATCATACTTTCTAGTGTTCGTTATTAATCTGGCTGCAGTGTTCTGTACTCGTTGTAGTTTACTTATATGATATTTTGGAAAGCCATAAAGTAGGCCATTACAATAATCGAGTCTGGACGTAACGAAAGCATGAACTAATAATCTTTTAAGGGATTCCTGGGAAAGGTAGTTAGAAATTCTACGAATATTGTGAATATGGTAAAAAGCGGTCTTACAAACTTGGTTTATATGACTATTCATACTAATTGAATTGTCTAATATCGTTCCCAAATTCCTTACGTTAACCGAAGGATCAATCGTATGATCACCTGCATGAAGTACTGATGGATTTAATTTATTTAACTGCTGACGAGTTCCAATAACTAGAAATTCAGTTTTATCATCATTGAATAACACCCGTCCTTCAATAAGCCAGTTCCTATAATTAAAATAATAATATATCTTTAATGGAATCCTCCATTGCGCGAATGGCATCATCCTGGGCGTTAGCATCATCGGGCTTGAAACTCACGTATAGCTGGGTATCATCCGCTTAACAACGAGCCTCAGTCAGATGACGTTCGATAACCTTGAACAGCGTAGAATTGTACATAACAAATAGTAGAAGACCTAAACAGGACCCTTGAGATACACCACAGTTAAGATAGCGTTGATTAGAGAGAGATCCATCAATACAGACTTGTTGGCATCGATTAGATCGAGAGATATGAACGAAACCAGCGTAACACGTCGCATTCCAATGTCCTTGTCAAGTCTCTCCAACAGAATGTCGTGATTGACAGTGTCAAAAGCTGCGCTGAGATCAAGCAACACCATAAGTGTGACTTGCTTGAGAGTTCATGTTCAGTAGAACATCATTCATCACTTTCAGCAGGGCTGTTTGCGTACTGTGGTGTTGGCGGTACGATGACTGGAGCTCGGGATATTTAACAATTATTCCTCGAGCCCGAATGGGCTCTGAGTCAATAGCCCATTAGGCCGAAGGCCGAATGGGCTATTGACACAGAGGCCATGAGGGCGAGAGGAATAACTGTTTTAGTAAAATCCAAATAGTTGGTCAAAAATATCGAGGCAAAACAACTTAAAGCAAGACTTTACTACTCTTTTGCCGCCAAAAATCCGGCGTTTTTCGATACTAGTGGGCTATAACATATAGCCTAATAGTAGCTCAACCAATCAGAACGCAGCATTGATAATAGACCACCAGTTGGATTTTACTAAAATGAGTTAATACACATGTGACTATGCGTTTGCTGGAAAACAGCCTTCTCTGTAAGCTTAGAACTTTACTTTTTAATTCATATAGCTACCAAAGCAACTCTAGGAGCAAATTCATCACCAAGGACGACGTCAATACTAGCAACTTCAACACGCCCGGCGACCTCACCAATCACAGGTAGTATAAGTTCATCGGAAACTTCTTGGTCTCAAAACTTAATATATACAGCCGAAAAAAGGTTTATGGTCGAGTTATCGAGAATTCGAAGCAAATAACCGGAAAAAAGAAAATAAGCAAATGGATGGGGAGGGAATGTGCAATTAAGCAACGAAACTTGCCTAATGTACAGTTTGCACGTGAACACGGAATTTGAACTGGTAGTGACAAAAAAGTAAAACAAAGATTTGGCCGCAGGGGTTGAAATAATTTCAATGTCTCGGACTTCAATGCGCGATTTTTTTTTTTTTTTGCTGACTTGTCACGGGCTTATGACATGGTTCGAGTTATTGAGGTTAAGATTATATAGAAATTATCTGAAGAGAAACAAAAATGACTTCGCTCAGGTACCACGATGACTACGTGTTGCGTGGTCAACGCGAAAATTTAACATACGCTCATCTCATTGGCTAAATCCGAATACAGCTCACGCGCAATCAGGGGACTAACTGAGTCCATGTTCATGTTGACCACAAAAAAAAACACATCGCAATACCAATGACGAGGGAAAGAGATAAGAGACTGACCTGGCCTTAAGGATTTGGCGCTTTCATGGTAAATCGGTGCGCGGTTCTTTGATCCGGGACAAATTTTTGATAACAGCATCAATTTAAACACGATTGGAAATTCAGCCAAGCTGATGTGGTCGTATACAAACAATAAAATTAAACTTCTAACTAATTACAATAACTTAAAGACTAATAACATAAGACCTCCATGTATTTACAGCAATAAAAATTCTACACAGTACATCATTATTCTACACTTATTTAATACACTTGAGTGACTTTTTAAAAGCGTCAATGTCATGAATTGATCTCTATTTGGTTTTCCAGGGCGTTCCACCGGATAATTGACTTGTATGAGCATGATTTCTTGACCATATTGGTGTTAGGCTTGGGTAACGCGACTGTACACAGTCACCTGCCTTGCTTCGCTTTATGTAGGAAAACAACACAGAACAAACAACGAGCCGCACAACCGCATAAAATGACCATGAATTGAGCCCAGGTTACACAGAAAAAAACAACAATAGGCCATTACAAATAAAATTTATTTCTATATTTATGCCTACATTTCTACGTTTTTACAATCATAGTAAATTTCTCATACAAAGTCGATCTTTAAATCACGTTCGTAATATGCAAAACAGCATCGAAACTAGCTGTAATTTTGCACCAAGCTTGGGCCGCCTGTGCCTGAACAGAAAACAAAGAGGTCTTTTCTTTTACGTCATCCGTTTCCCATACACGAAGTTTTGACCTGAGAATGGTTGTAACGAGGTGGTTTGTTCAGTTTTGCTAGAAAATTTCCTTTGACCCTTCTAATTGAATTTTTTTCCCTTTTTTTGCAGGAAGCTTAAAGAAAACTCTTGTAATCGTCGTCCCTTCTACGGTGGTAGCATTCATTGTTCTAGCGCTACTGTTGATTTATGTGTCTCGATACCTACACTTTAAGTGGAAGGGACGCAGACGAATAAAGCAGTACCAGGAGGAGCAAAGGGGAAAGGAATTTGACCACTTTAAGCTTGTTCAAAATAATCCGCTTACCACGCCACCGTGTACAAATCAAGGATTTATCGTTTAAGCAGTTGTTTGTCCTGGACTTACAGTCAGAAAAACCGTGAACACCAGAAATATTTATGGAATGTTATTGTGTCGCAAGGAAAAAAAAAATCAGGTTTGAGAAAACTAAACGTCAGTAATGTCGTTAGTTAGTTTGTGGTTTTGTGGCTAGTTCGCATGTCCTGATCTTTGCTGTGATTGGTCATAACACAATAAACATTCCTGAGACATTTAAAGTGTTCACGGTTTTCTCGGTCGCACTTTATGGTGGCTAGACTGGACTTTTTACGAAAGGTACCTCCCAACTTTGAGCATTTACTACGTCTGCTTTAACAAAAATATCAGGGAAGGAATACCACAGCTGTATTATGCAAAGATGAAAATATGTTATAATCCTTGTTTTATTGACATCGGAGTTGCCATGGCAACGTAATGACGTTACTACGCTTTTTACTTGCCTTTGTATTTCTCGGTATTAGGATTGTTTTGTAGAAATCTCTTAAGGGAAATTGTACCTCCGTTAAGGTGATGTTACACAGGGCGATTCGCAACGACGATTTTTAGCGAATTACAGCGTTGCAATACTGGAACAATGTTGTAACCATTCGAATCAATGTCGCAACAATGTTGCAACGCCATGTTGCGCCAAAAATCGTCGTTGCGAATCGTCTTGTGTAACATCACCTTTAGTTGCCTCAATAATGTACAGATTAAATAAATAATATGAGAGCGTTTTGGTAATATCTTAAACCGAAGTTTAACGGTCATCAAAGCAGTGAATAAACATGCTGTCGTCATAATTGGCTAATATCTTAAGAAAATGATGAGGTCTGGAAACGCGCAGTTTCATCTCTTAGTCCTGCATAATGGTTTGATTCCATGAGACGGGGATTGCTTTGGCCGATTGCCAGAAAGAGGAATTTTGATTGCGTTCGGCTTCTAATCGTTGGAGACACACTTTCGTCCCAAAAAAGTTAGACCTTTGTTCAGTAATTCAGACATAATAAAACAGCTTTCATGTGCGACGTAAAGAAAAATAGCATGGAATCAGGAGCCCATCAAATGGAGCCTCCATCTCCATTAATTTCTTGAGTCAACCCTTTCCCGAGTAGATTTATAAATAGAACGGCTTGTTTCCCGCGAAAAGTGTCATATTTCCGTGAGTCTCGTATGTCACCGTGAAAAAAATGAAGTTGGATGAAGTCGAACTCAGAAGCCCGTCCTTCGACCGTTTTCCTTTTTTACTAAACGTCCATTTTTGCAATTTTACAGCCCCTGGGATCTGGGATGAAATAAAAGTTAATGAATTACCCGACTGAGACTGAGCATGAAGCGATGGGACAAAGGCAGCGAACTGAGGATCACGGAAAGGTTCTTTGCGAGTGTTTGTTTTTGTTTGTTTGTTTTTTTTGCCGCCATACATCCCACATTTAAGCATGCACCTTGAAAAGAGTCGACGATTAAGCGTTCAGTGGACGATTTGGAACTTTTCGATGATCAGCGACGAAAAAGTGCCAGGATCATTTGATTTTTGTCATCACCGTGGAGTGGATTTCGCCAGTTAAGCACCGCGTGCAAAAGCGATGACCTAAGTAGCAACTAATGACGAATGCTTCAGAAAAATTGCAGTCTTCCTTTACAACCGACTTGTATCATCATGAGAGTTGCCTGATAAAACTGGCACTTGAAAAGTTGAACAGAAGACAACAGTTGTTCGACCGTGAAGCTAACTCAAAGTTGCTAACGGTGGAATTTGTGACATCGCGCTCCAGTCCAAAGACCCTCTTATCTCAAGAAAAACAAAATGGATTGTATCTGCGCCAAAAGAATCATGACTGACTAACAGGAGAATTTTCAGCAATTAATGTAGAAGTTTAGGCCAATTATTTCCTTCGAATTCGCATCTGTAGATCACTTTTTTGCGAGAAAACAATGGCTGGGCTCGGTGTTACAAAACATAGCAGGGAATCATCACACTAACTGACGGACAAAACAACCACAGTATTTATTCAGACAAACGCATTTCGGAAAAAAACTTGAAAAACTAGAAATTTGGTTAATATTGAGTCATTTAGCCGAAATAAGAACGTTAACGCTCAAAAAAATTGGCTAAAGAAAACGAATCCTGTCAGAACTACAGACTGCAGGTAGTAGTTAATCATTACGCATATAACAGACCAGCTTCATGGCCTCTTAATGTGAGACAAGCAACCAAAATTAAGATCAACATAGTTAGAGTTTAAAACTCTCCACAGTATAATCTACCCGCTAGAAAGAAAAGAAAGAAAATCTCTGAGGGACGAAAACTCTAAAGTCACGTTTCACTAGCTTATGATTGTGTTTGGCCTGTCAGCACCGAAATTTCCTGCTGTTTCATGAAGTACAAAAGCAGAGTCATTTCGTCGTTGTGATTGGCTCTTCCCACCGTCGGCGCGCGAAGTCTCCCCTGGGAACCGTTCTTATTATAAATCTACTCGGGCAAGGGTTGACTCCAAGGGCTTGTATGGGAGATGGAGGCTCCTTGATGGGCTCCTGATGGAATATAATTATAAAAAGGAAAACAGGATTGTAGGTCGTAACCTCTCCCGATAAAAAAAGCCATTACAACGGGTCGGTTAGTTTAACGAAGTCAAGCCTGAGCTCCAATGAAATTAACCTCCTTCCAACTCATTTTCAATATGGCCAGCCCCTATATATAGTAAATAATGTTTATCGTGGACAGCGACAAGGCATTAACTATAGCGTGGGGTACTAGAAAAGCAGTAATAAAACAGTAACACACGTAATAGTTATAGATATGGATGCCCACTGGCTGTCTTTAACCACGGTATGAGCTAGACCTCGTTTGAATACCCGACCCTACAGGTACGTCTAAAAACCATAATCATGAAATGGGTCTGTAATGACTTGCGCAGCTCTAAAGCCCCGAATAGCAAGAGAAAAAGAAAACAGTGATTCAAATACAATTATAAAGTTTTGAAATATTTCGAAAACGACAAGAACGAAAATGTCTCTCTGACGTCTGTTTTGTTTAGAAAAAAAAATCAAGTGATTCTAAAAACACTTTTAATATCTAAGCAAAATAATTAGATTTGAAGATTGATGTAAATGTTTAATGTCGCTACTTGCCAGGTTTTTCTTTTGAGAGTTATATTTATTTTCCGAATATATTGCCGTTTTAGTCTGTCGACTGTCCCTGTCGCTGGAGTTACAATGTCGGGTAGCAGCAAAATCAGAAAGGTGCACGAAATCGATGATTCTATATTGAGTATACACATGCTGTGAGGAAAAGCAAGGAAAACCAGTTATCCATTGGCAAGAAGAACTTTAAACCTGAAAAAATAAAATTTTCCTGTATGCAATGGTAAAGCCATTCTTAGAATTAGAGGTATATACTCTTTAACATGTTATAAAGAGAAAGAAACCCGCAAAAGTTTGTGAAATTGGACAACATGAGGCAATATGGGAGTATAGGTGACGCGCCTGGCCATAGTATTTTCCTATTCCTATACGCCTCGCTATTACATTCTCAGTGCTTTCTGTTAGTTAGGATTAAAGAGTCTATTGCGTCCTTATGCCTCACGGTAGCGTAAAGAAAAAGACTACCGCCAATAAGGAAATTTGAGTTGCGAGACACTGACTTGATAGAAGCGGGAAAAGCACATAAAACCGGTTATACTAGACATAACATCAGGTCATCACACTCCCGGCACTTTCAGTCGGAGTATTAGTTAGTAGTTAGAAATAATTGTTTTACAAAGAGAGAGAGAGAGAGAGAGAGAGAGAGAGAGAGAGAGAGAGAGAGAAAGAAAATCGTTTTAGACAGGATCATGTTTGCAAAAGCCAAAAATGTGGAATTTTGTATCTTTTTATAATAGCTGGAAAACTGTCCATGGGATTTGTTTGAAAAAATTTCTACGGTTTCTTCCTTATGTTGCGTAACAATCCTCAAAAATTTGAAATCAGGTCGTATGGCAAGGTCTAGATTCCAGTCCCCTTTTTGGGTGCTCGGTCAGTATATTTCGCGTCACAACGCAAAATGTTTTTAGAAGGTAAGTGATAATTTACATCAATAGACCTTTTTACCGATACGTCGGCCATATTGAATTAATTCGATTTAAGGAGTATTATAGGATGCCGAGGGGGCATGAGCACATTTCGTTTGTATTTTCGAGCGCTTTTCTGGACATTTTTTCTTAATGGGAAAAAAGATCTTGTACCGTGTTTGGATGTAATAATCATCGCCTTTTTCTAATTTACTATTACAGATATGGTCTTTCACTGTATATTTCGCGTGAAAAAGGCGATCATTATTACATCCAAACAAGGCACAAGGATCTTTTTTCCGATTACAATCTTATTCTCAGAAAACTTTAAGAATAAATGTCCCAAAAAGCGCTCGAAAATACAAAAGTCTAACCTGGGGAGCGAAATATGAAAAGATAATCTTAAGAAAATCGTAGGGCATTTATTAGATATTCAAAGACTCATTAATAATTCATAAGCCTATCAAATGGTCGATAAATCATGCGTTGACATTATATCTTATAAAACCTCCCCTAATTAGTATGCGGTGTTTTATCGGATATAATGTCACTGCACGTGACTTAGGAATATTAATTTCAGCACACCAACTGACACAACAAATGGTCTGTGAGTATTAAATGTTTTTTCAAAATAACACGCAGTAAATTTACCATTGGACAAAATTAAACTTTGTTCTTTCACAAATTTAATAATGGCTAATCGATGATAATCGACAGTAATCGATATCCTTCATCGATGAATATCGATTTCCGATGTCAATCGATAATAATTGATTTATCGATTGTTATCGATTACTATCGATTATTATTCATTCAAAATATTTCCACGATTCTGTTTGGCTAAAAGCACACGCATAATTCACCATAACCAGTTTCTGATGACCAAATTTGGAAGAATTTTGTGTTTAACGAAGAAATGACGTCAAAAATGCAGTGTTCGTGCAGATTAAGGCACCGTTAACCGAGAAGGCCTGGG